CTAATGCAGAGGTTCTTAATCTGGGACCTGTGAACCAAAAAAAAATTTTAATAACTATTTCAATGTAATTGGTTTCCTTTGTTTTCCTATGCATTTTATGTCTTTGAAAACATTCTGAGAAGGGGTCCAGAGGCTTCACTAGACTACTAAAGGAGATGACCAAAAAAAAATAGTTCAGAACCCCTGCTTTTATCTAAAGGCTATATTTAAAGCAACTAATAAATAATTTTAAAACTATGGACCTGATTTAAGGTCTTGAAAAAATAAGGCCAAGAAAACTTTTTTTTCTTTCTTGTGGTACTATGCAGTAAATTTTAAAAATTGTATAGTTAGAATTTTGTTTTTAAACATTAGGCCATCCACTTGTTACGTAAGGCAAAGTATTATAAGGTGTACTTATTTGTAAAGTTGGTTCTTGTGTTAATAATATTCATCTAAATGGATATGACATATAATTCAGAAAAAAAGGGAAAAGATGACTGAAGAACACTGTGAATATAGGAGCTATATATAGCCTAGCCTATTAAGCTGTCATCTCCTCTCCCCACCCAAAAAAAAAAAGGAACAGAGAAAATTAAGGGCTTTGCTGCTATTACTCTCTCTTAGAAAAGTTTTACCAAGGCAAAACCACTAAGTGAATAGGCTGAAGAGACCAGAAATGAATTTAGCCAACAAAGAAGAGAGATTTAGTGGCCACAAGCAGCACTGCTTTAGGGAAGCTTCATTAAGAGAAAAAGAACGTTTAGAAAGCTTGGAATGACAACTTGCTAAGCCTGATCAACCTAAGAGCATTGTAGATGAAACTAGAAGGGGGAGGTCAGCCAGCAGACTCCAAATGGAATGGATTTGTATTCTCTTCTCTGTATCTTAGTTATGTGTGTATATGCCTTTTCCTGCCTGTCAGATTATAAACTCTTTAAAATCTGGGTTATGTTACATGTAACTAACTTTCTGTATCCCAGGGTTAAACAGTTCTTTGTTCACACTAGACACTTAATAAATGTTTGTTGACTGAATGAATCAATTAATGAATAGTGGAATATTTTGAGTCTACCACCTAAATATCCAGTATGTTTATTTATATGAGAAAATGGCAGTAGCCCTTAAGAATGTGAAGTCAGTAAGAGTGAACTTGACCTAACAAAATACATGTAGAAGAAATAAGTGCTGAAGGTGATTCAATTTTAGGGATTGATTTTTCAAGAAATCACAAAAAGGAAAAATTTTAGAGAATAGGAAAAAAAACCAAATAGAATTAGGTTATTTGTTTGCCAAAGAAAGGTAACAAAATATATAAGCAACATACCTGCTTTTTCATCCATATCAGTGCTTTATGAAAAGAGATAACTTAATGTCCTGGATAAGATACTGGCCTTGAAGTCAGAAGAGCTCAGTTTGAATCTTGTCTCAGATACTACTGAGTGATCATGGACACCTTAAGCCTCAGTTTCCCCATTTGTAAAATGCAGTACCTACTTCACAGGTTAGGACAGCCCTCTGTAAACCTTAAAGCACTATATAAATGAGTTGGAGTTATTTTTATCGTGCACATATTTAGGTGTCAGGATGAAGACATGGAAAGAGAACAACGAAATTTTTGCAGGTGATTTTCTGCCACAGACAGAAAATATGTGGTTACATAGCAGCCCATGTGGTGTGTGGAATTGTAGACCAGAGCATTGGTCTCCAAATTAGGGGCAGTGGCATGCTTAAACATTTTCAGGATGCCTCAGATACATTCTCTCAATTGATCCTTATAACAATCTAGAGAGTTAAGGACTATTATTATTCCTATTTTACAGATAAGAGAGGTTAGCCAGTGTCATATAAAAGTAAAAGGGAGAGGGTAATTGTTGTTGTTTGTCCTTCATTCTCTCTGTTTTCTTTCTTCTTTTTTTGGTGAAGCAATTGGAATTAAGTGACTTGCCCAGAGTCACACAGCTAGTGAGTATTAAGTGTCTGAGGCCAGATTTGAACTCAGGTCCTCCTGACTCCAGGGCTGGTGCTGCGCTACTGAGCTGCCCTTGTCCTTCATTCTCAAAGAGGACCATGACATCAGGGAGGTGATGCCATGACATTCAAGTGAATTGCATTTAAGTGAGGGAGGGCTGTGTAAAGACATCAGCCTCACTTTCTCCTCCAGAGCCCTCTGGGGCCAGTGGCAAAATATAGATCAGGATGGCTGAAGATGGCCTTCGAACAGGATGGTGTAACCAGATTGTATGTATCTCAGATGAGGAAATGTTGTTGAAAAATACCGAGGCATGAGGTATGGGACAACGGTAGATGTGCTATCCCCATGAAACCTTGTCATTTTCCTCTTTCCGTCCCCTGAAAGCTCTAGATTGTGAACGTGATCTGGTCTTTTACCCAAATCATCCAGTCCTGACAGCCCCATTTGTGTGTTTCACAGAGGTCAGTCATGTAAGATCAGGTGCTAGCTACCTGTTTAGGTTCCTCAGGATCCATGGCAGACTTTCTTTTATAAAACTAGTGTATGAAGGGCTAGTGGATTTGTTTTTATAGCTTGGATTAAAATCAGTCCTCATCTCTTTTATTTTGTCTTGTTTTTCATGAAGACTGAGTCTCCCTATCTCGTCCAGGTGGAGGTGCAGGGGCCATTCACAGACTGATCCCACTCTTGATTGGCACTGGAGTTTGACCTGCCCCATTTCCAGCCTCAACTGGTTTGCCTCTTCTTAGGCAACCTGATCACTCCTTGTTCCCAGGGGCTTACTCTAGTAGTGTTGGACTTAATGCAGACACTTGATCAGCAATAGCCCTCTGAAGCTCAGGACTCCTGAACTCAAGAGATCCACCAGCTTCTCCCCGCTGATAGCTGGAATTACAGGTGTGTGCCATCATACCCAGCCAGCCCTTATGTCTAAGTCCCAATCTTTTAAATGCTAGTAGAAATTGGGTTGTGGCTTTTCTGGTGAGTTTATTCTAAAAAACTCACTTGTGAGAGCTGTTTCATTCCAGTTCAAGGCCCAGAATATTGTACTGTAGTCTACTACTTACTCCCACCCTGGCAGCCACCACAATTGATTGGTGACCAAAGTGTGCAAACCAGCCTGCTTAGCCCCCTCTATTTTCAGCTAGCTCTAGATGGCGGACCATGCTTTAGTTTCTCACCCCATCCAGCTATCTCATCATGCACCTGCCCATACACAAGGATGCATAAATCCTCACTTCACTTTCTACCTCCCCAAAGCAAAATTCCCTTCCTTCATCATGCCATATATATTGTCTTCCTTTAGTAGTGTCAACCCGACCGACTAGGTGATTAGTTAAAAAAAAAAGCAAGCATTTATTCATGGTTGAGGAATTGCAATTAGGGACAACAGGCCACCTTTTCAGATAAGGATATCCAGAGAGAGGGGGGGACAAAGGGGATTCTTAGAGGGCTTAGTTGTGAGAAACAGGAGGAAGTATAGTCAGAATATATAGAACAACCAAGTGTTGAAATGTCCTTGCAGTTATGGCTGTGCAGGAACAGAAGCAGTCAGAAACTGCAGGGGTATGTGGGAGTCTTGTTGGGGGCAGTTAGAAACCTCAGGTCAGAGCAGAGATTCCTAGGAGATGATCTTGGTAGGGGAGGAATGTTAGAAACTGCTAATAAGAACAGAGTAGGGGCCTAGAGATTCTCAAGGGGTTGACAGTAGAATGGAAGCTCTTTGAAGGCACGAGGTCAATTTTTAAATATTTGAGCTTAGTACAGAGCCTGGCACATAGCAAGTACTTACTAAATGCTTTTTCACATATTTGTTATTCTGGAGTTAAACGATGAGTCTCTCCATCCTCCAGTGAACTCCGGCTTGGGCAAGGAGGCAAAGGCTCCAAATAACCAATTTAGGAGCTTCTAGAATGGGATCTTTTAATTGTTTGCTGCTGTTTGTCCTTCCCTCTGGAAGAGGACCATGACATCAGGGAGGTGATGCCATGACATGCAAATGATTTGGATTTAAGTGAGGGAGGGCTGTACAAAGTCACCAGCCTCACTTTCTCCTCTGGAGCCATCTGGGTCCAGAGGCAAGATGTAGGTCAGGACAACTGGAGATAGCCTAGGACACAATGGGGGACCTTGGCCTTTTCAGGCGAAGGTCTTTAACAGGTCTGTGTTTGACTGAGGCAATGCAATGCCCATTCAGTGATTAAGGCTCAATAAATGAAGCAAAGAAAGGCCTCTTTAAGAAATAAAAAAAAAAAAGAAAAAGAAAAAAAATGGGAGGGGAATACCCTCAGGGTTTCTGGCCAAAACAGAAACAATTGCTATTTACATTCATTCTGAGCCAATCAGGGCCCAAACAATGACCAAGTAGGGCTTGGCCTGGGACCTACTGTTGGCCAATCAGTAAGAACCAGAGTGATTTGGGGTTAAGGCTAGTCTGTCTGTCTTTTTTTTTTTTTAGGCAATTGGGGTTAAGTGACTTGCCCAGGGTCACACACCTAGTAAGTGTCAAGTGTTTGGTCTGAGCCCAGATTTGCACTCAGGTCCTCCTGACTTCAGGGCTGGTGTTCTACCCACTGCGCCACCTAGCTGCCCCTGGTTAAGGATAGTCTTGAAGAAAAAGGGGAAAAAAGTTTCAGAGATCAAAATTTGCATTCCCTTTGGGCAGAGCCCCTGTGATATATACCCTGTGTGGTTTCTCTCTCTCTCTCTCTCTCTCTCTCTCTCTCTCTCTCCCCCTCCCTCTCTCTCTCTCTCTCTCTCTCTCTCTCTCTCTCTCTCTCTCTCTCTCTCTCTCTCTCTCTCCCTCTCCCTCTCCCCTACCAGGTTCTGTTTTTTTTTCTCATGAACTTGGTAAAATGATATGAGAGGCAGGCATGGCTTGCTTTTTTAAGAACCTGTTATTTCTACAACTGTCACAATGTACTGTATCAAAAAGCATTTTGTCAGCATGAGCACCATTAATTTTCCAGTTCTAGACATTTAAAATGTTTAAATTCCAGGAATTTCAAATTCCTACTTCAAAGAATAGGATTTTTTTTTCTTTTAGGATGATTTTGATACTGACATTTCTATGGTGGATGAGCAAAGCCTTCATGAGAATAGGAGCTATGAGGACTTAGTGAGCACTTCAGAAATCTGTGACTCCAATCGAGAGTATTACAGGAAACTTGAAGAGCTGAAGACAGCCCACATGAAAACGATGGCAAAATTGGAGAAACTATATCAAAATAAATTACATTTAAAGGGGGTGCAGCCAGAGAGCAGGAAGGAAGAAATGCCTCGCCCATGTTTTAAGTAAGTTTGTTTCTAATGCTTCCCTCTACATCTTCTTGAATTTAATCTCAGAAATGATATGTTGTGCAGAACAAATAAATGGTTCAAAACATTTTAAGAGTATTTTCTGTCACATATGTACATGTTATATACACTTAATGATATGGGTATAAATGTTTACTAGCAGATTGTTTTGTTTGCTTTTTAACTCATGTTCATCCAGTGGTCATAGTCTTCTCTCTAGCCATTGGTATGTAGAAATATTTGCATTTCTGTCCAATCTAGACCATCTTAATCATCTATGATAATATATAATTTTAAAAGCCCTACACAATATGTAAATTAATAGGCTCCCTGGATTATGAGTCAGCATTCTAGCCATCTCTCTGACATCCCTAAAGCAGGCCTGCCCACCTGCCACAGGCCAAAGGATTTCCTCTACATACAAAGGATTGGCATGTGCCATGCAGCATGGGGCAAGAGGCTGGAGGGCCATAAGCAGCCTGGGGGCTGCAGGTTGTGCAAGCCTGCCTAAAGTAGCCCCAAGTTCTGGTTCCAGCTCCAATACGGAGAGGCTGGAGGGACAGTGTGGTCTCGTAGAAAGAGCAAGGGCTGTGCTTAGGGTTGGTCTTGTCTCTGACACCATGTATCAGTGCAGAAGACCAAGTTCTTCCAAGATTCACATAAAAAAGAACATTTGACCCACTTACCACCAAGGTTGAATCATTTCATGGAAATAGTAGAGAAAAGATACATAGTTACTCTAGTCCTGTCAGCCGGGGAGCTGCCCAAAGATGCTTGATCTTAGAGCCGTGAAGCAGGTTTGTTCAAATTGGTGGGGAAGGGAGGGTGCTCACTCCTTTTGGATCAGAGGTCAGGATTGAAGTAGCCTCCCCCACCTGTACCCCTTTATTGCCCACCCCTCTTTTAGTCTCACAGAGGAATACTTGATTCATAATTTGGGTATGATTCCATGATATAGTGCCTTGAATATAGAATGCATTAAATAGCTATTTGTTGAACTGAATTGAATGGGGATTTAAACTGGTAGTTCTGAGAAGGAAGTGTGATGAAATGGGATTGACCTCATGCCTTGGCCATCATTTGTAGGCATTGTTCAGCCTCAATCATAAATTATATGCACTTGTACTAATTCCATATTAAGGACAAATCCATCATATACACACACACATACAGGAATGTACACAAATACATGCATGTACACTTTTTATAGAAATAGAGAGCAGTTAATTGTAGAACAGACTAGGCATGTTTATAAGAGGGTATATGGCTGTTTCTACAGCATAGCACAGAAGAGAAAAAGCAAAAATAAGCCTTTCTTCATTCCAAATGAAGACTTACTGATCTTTTCTTCCTCAGGCACCAGGAAATGTATCCATGGTCTAAGGACATGACTTAGCCCCACAAGAGTCTCCAAGTTTTAAGATGTGCTCTACAGACCACAGACACTAGCTATTGTGACTGTGGGCAAGTCAGTCAAATAAACATTCATTAAGCACCTACTATGTGCCGGGAACTATATTAACACTAGAAAGCTGACAAAGCACTTCACTAGTCTGAGCCCTAATTTCTTCATTTGTAAAATATAGGGACAACAGTTCTTAGCCTGCCTACCTCACAGGGATATTGTAAGAAAAGGGCTTTGTAAATCTAAAAGTTCTTCGGAATGTGAATTATCATCCGACATACTTCAGCTCTGACCCTCAGTTTTCCTCATCTGTAAAATGAACTGAGACAGTGTGATTTTTATGGTCTTTTGTAAGTCTGTCATAATTTCATCATCTCATACTGTTTCAGTCATGTTTGACTTACTACACAATGATCTCATAACATATAAATCTATTGTGGTTTCCTGTATTTGGTCACAATGTAACACATCACTTTTTCCTTAGCTCAGTGTGGATCAGCTCCTCCTGTCAACCTGCCATTTTGCAAAAATCATTTTCTGAGCCTGATTTGAATCAACCTTCTTCCATTAGTGTATCAGATATGTCTGACACTGGATTTTCCAATATAGAAAAAGAAAATATGAATGAAGTAAAAATGATGACTTCTGCTAAAGAATACATCAGGAATATGTGGAACAATTTTTCCGTGAAGGACTATGCTTATATTCGCTCTGACAGTTCTGATTCACCAATAGTTGAAAAATCAGAGAAGAAGCCAAAGGAGTGGGTGCCAAAGATTACAGTGCCTAAGCCCTTTCAAATGACCATCCGAGAAGACAGGAAAAAAGAAGAGCGGCTCAAATCTCAGTCAGAAAGGGAGATGGCCTTTAAACTGCTGAAAAAGCAAGAAGAAGAACAACTAGCTCGGAAAAAAAGGTTCCGAGCCAATCCCGTGCCAGAGTCTGTCTTCCTTCCCCTTTATCATGAAATTCTAGAGCGGAATGAAGAAAGGAAGAAGAGTGTGAAGGAGAGAAGCAGAAAGATCCTTCTGACTTCCCAAAAGCCTTTTACGTTTATTGCAAGGGAAGAGCAGAAGAAAGAGGCTCGGAAGGTGCAGCTGGCTGACATGTCAAAGCCTGAAAAGAAAAAGCATCAGTTTAAAGCCAGACCAGTCCCCAGGTCCACCTACAGCTCACCTGTCAGCGACAGACTAAAGGAGGAGGAGTTCTTCAGAGAAATTAGGATTCACCTGAGAGCACAGGAGCTCTTACAGAACTCATCACTGCCCAGAAACATGAAGGCTCACCAATCACCCTCCAAGAGGAAGCCAAAGCACCCAGAGCAGGGTGAGAAGACCAGGTACAGGAACAAGGCCAAGTACCGGGTGCCCGACTTTGGAACCCTCCACACCAAGTTTCAGAGGCAGCTCTTGGAGCAGAAGAATCCCAGGCCCACCACAGTCTGTGAGCCGTTTGATCTCCTAACTTTGCGGATCCCCTCCAAAAAGGAGAAAATTTTGAAAGACATTCAAGCCGATGAAGAACGTTTAAAAGAAACACGCTGGCCCTATCTGTCTCCTCGTGGAAAAGTACAGGGAACGCGCTCAAAGACCGAGTATCCCTTTTGTGAATCAAGTGAATCAGAATCTCCCAGACCTACTGTGTCTTCAAGAAAGAGACAGCAAGCCATCAGGTAACTCAGCACACCGCTAATTCAGATGCAGGGCTCACTAATCAGTGATTGATGAATGACTACTAATAGTGCCAGGGAAAATACTTTCTTTTGGTCAAATTACTCTCTGGATTAAATTGTGTGGTAAAATTCTGTGGGTGTCACAGGGTGGGCAGGTGTGAATGGGCTGTGCTCTGCATTGGTAGGAGTGTCCACTGACCCACTGGAGTATGGCAAAGTATTTTCCCCAAATAATACATTTGCTGTCCTAGGGGCTGTCCAGGGTGAAAAGGACTGTAATCAAATAGCCTGATGCTGTCCTGTTTTTTAAAGTCTGTTCACTCACAAAAGGAACAAATGAGCGAGTTGCTTGGTTTACTTTGCCTTAGGCTGCCACAACCTGTTTTTCTCCTTTAGTTTATCCTGTGTAGATCCCTTTTTAAAAAACTATTCTTAATGGCTTAAAATGAATTCAGCCTTAGTTTATTTTGCCCTCAGGAGATCCCTTGAGGAAAAGAAAACATTAGAAGAGGACCGGAAACGGAGTCTAGCTATGCAGAGTCAAAGAATGAGAGAATTGCAAAAACTCCTGGTGGCCCGAGCTCGGGCCATTGATACACACCAGAGTTTAGCGCAAATGTCTAAATCCAGAATGACAACACTCAGGTATCATCTAAGGAATCTTGAAATTCTAGCTGAACAGTTTTATGACTAACAAAAATGTTTGTCTGAAGAGCAAAATGTCTCCTCCCCAAAACCAGGAGAGGAATGGAGCCTAACGTTTTAAAAATAATGATGTTTATGAACCAAATAGTAATTTGCTTTAATCAATTGCAACATTTGAAGAAAATTAAGATTTTTAAAAATTAACAACATTAGTATAAAAGGGGAATGATCTGCTACTAAGTCACCTCAAGTATTTATAAAGTGGGAAGTGGGTTAGAGACTTTCAGGGCACCAAGTGTCAGCAGAGCTGTTATTCTGAGCATAGTTTACTATGATTATCATTTAGGATGATAAGGGTTACATAGTGTTTATCTCTGGGTTCACAAATTAGTTTCTCTCATTTGAAGGAGAAGAGAGGGGTCTAGACTTAGGATTCTGGTAGTCTAAGCAGCTCCCTGGAAAGAAATTCCCTCCATCGATGCAGATTGGCCACTGTTCTGCTGCCTGGAGGGTTTAAGTTGTTGCCTGGGGACACAGAGACCAAACAAGATGGGGGGGGGGGGAACGGTGTAAGTGTGTGGGTATATATATATTTAATATTTTTATATTTTATATCCATATATAAATGTATATATAAAAAATATATACCTGTCCACGTACACGCGCACACACACTCTCTCTCTCTCTCTTTCTCTTTCTTTGTCTTTCTTTGTCTCTCTCCTGATGGCATCTATACAGGATGTCCCAGACAGTTTTAAACTTTAGTAACTTCAGAAGTATACATGCTACAAACTTTAAAAAAAACAACAGTTGAAAGATTAAGTATTTTAAAATTTAAAAATATTGGTTTGTTTCTTGTTAAAATTAAACATAACTATTATCTTGTGTTCTATATCACTCTGGCCAGTTTTCAAACCTTGTAAAAACTTTCTTCAGCTGCTACATCAGTGATTAAAAGTATGGCATTTGTAATCCTAACCTTAGGATCATCCAAAGAAGGAGATTTTAATGGATACATGACAATTTTGATATGACCTGGAAGAAAAACTCTAATGGAGATAGATCAGGTAGCTTACCAAGAGGGCCTCTTTGGTCAATGCACTAGTCTGAGAAGGGGTTGTCTAATTTTTTTGTTGTTGTTGTTTGTTGGTTTTTTTTTTGGCTAGGCAATGGGGTTAAGTGACTTGCCCAGGATCACACAGCTAGTAAGTGTTATGTGTCTGAGGCCAGATTTGAACTCAGGTCCTCCTGAATCCAGGGCCAGTGCTTTATCTGCTGTGCCACCTAGCTGCCCCAAAAAAGGGTTGTCTAGAAACTGTCACATAGGCAGTGCATAGTTTCAGGGTGTCCAGTCTTGTTCAAATTAAAAATTTATTCAAAATTTATAAAACTAAGTAAATATAAAAGAAATTTAATTGAATTTCAAGTGATTGCTTTTTGTAAGTTTGTACCATTTATACTTCTGAAGTTATTAAAGCTTAAAACTACACTGAGACTGTTTAGGACGTGTGTGTGTGTGTGTGTGTGTGTGTGTGTATCTAGACACATGGATGTGTGTATGTATGTATGGAATTCTGTCACAAGAAATCTTCAGCTCATTTATTTTCAGATTTGCCTACATGAGAGAAAGTATTCATTTCTCTAACCTAAGATTCATCCCTAAAGGTTGGTATGTAGAAAATAGATATGAAGCAGTGTGGCATGGGAAATAGATATCAGGCTTTAATTTAGGAATGACCTGATTCAAGTTCCCATTTCTGACCCATCCTGGCTTTGTGATTCTGGGCAATACACTTTCTCTAAGACTAGAGCTTGCAAAACAGTGGCCAGTAAGGATGGGGAGAAAGAGGATTTCCTCACTGGCAGCTCCCTACACCGTTGAAATCACAAGTCTATACAATAAATATATAAAGTGTCCCAAAAGTTTTAGTTGACTAGTATAGAGGTGTGTGCGTATAGAGGTATAGTATGTGTGCGTGTGTGTGTATCTGCCAGCTATTAAATGGATGGTTTGCACATAAATTAGATAGTAAAGTATATAGTCACCTCTTCAGGCCAGGTCCTATTTACTAACTACGAATGAGCAACCAGTGTACTAGCAACCAGTATATTCCCAATGAATAGACAGATTCTGCCAGTACATTTTCTATCTGACTTAAACACCACAAGAAAAAAAAACACAACCTTGACTAAGGAAAGGGAATATGGTAAGCTATTTCATACATAATTTATTTTTAAAATTTGTCTTAGGAAAAGCTACTTATTCTGTGTGATTCTTATTTTAAGCATAACTTTTAAAAACTAAATTAATTTCTTCTTTTATATTACTTCAATGATAGAAAGAATGAGAAGGAAAGGATGAAAGAATACCTAGAAGAACTAGAAGAAATAGAAAAGAGATTGAAGAAGAGGCCATTACTGTTTGAAAGAGTTGCTCAGGTTGTGTGGATTGGCATTTAGTTCTTTAGTTTTGTTTTGTTTTGGTTTTTTTTGCTCTTATGTTTTCAACTCCCAGTTTTCCCTTTAAGAAGTATTTTTTGACAAATGCATCAAATTAACCAAATAGTTTTGCTTCAACTTCTGAAAACTTAGCTATGTCAATGACACATTTAAGTCTATATAGAATATGAAGTGTTTTCTGTATTAAATATTCCTAACTTTTTTCACGGAAACATTTTAGTCACTGACTAAAAATAGTGGTTATTTGCATTTTTCAGAAGTGACTTAATTAGATCTTAGGGTAAAACTTTTCTTTAGTTTGAATGGCGAAAAGATTTTTAGGGGTTTCATAACTTTAAAAAAAACACCAAGAATCATTACTGTGGCATCAGAGTATCACATTTCATGATACCAATTAAAATAATTTAAGTTGTAAGAACATTTTTTTCAAAACTATAATTTTCTTTAAATGACATCTTCATAACACACAAAAAATTGTTATGGTAGCCTGAGACTAAGTTACTTTTCACAGCTCACAATTCCTGTTAAATCATCTTCTCACCTACCCCCGAAATGAGATATGTATAAGTGGTTTGGCTTTAAACAAATAACCCCCACCCAAAAGGGAAGAGGTACTACTAACAACATACATTTTAAGCCACAAACCATAGCGAATTAGGATTATAAACTCAAAGAGTTAGGACTGGAAAAGCTCTTAGAAAAGTCAAGCCTCCAAGTGACAGCTATGTCTAGCTAGAGATGTGGTCATATGAGCTTAGTAATACCATAATCTATGTCTTCAAGAGACAAATAGTTGTATCTTATCAAAGAGGGGTTATATATACTGATCACAGTCTACTCTCAAATTCACATAGGATCATAGTGTCATACTATCTTGTTAAAGGATATGAATGTAGGTTTTATATGCTGGTTTCAGCATAATGTCTTATGTTATGTTTTGTCATACTTCTAGGTATGAATTTTTTTATGTCAGTTTTAGATTCAGACAGAGCCCGTGTTTTAAATTTTGTTTGCAATGCAAAATAATCATATCATTATGTGATGAATATAACCAGTGTAGTTGTCTGAACAGGATAATAAAGGAAAAAATTCACTCTAGAAACTGAATTATACAGTTCTGTGGTCTGTTGATCAGATTAACTAGATTATGACTTTCTCTTCTCTATTCTGTACTGCAAAGGCATAGTCATAGACTGTTTCCACTTCATCACTGGTGAACTCTAGTGTTAGTAATCATTTACAGCATTCTATGAATTCTCATTCCTTAAATTGTTTATAAGTCTAAAGTCTTAGGAAATATTTTGCAAATGTGGGAAGAAGCAAGGAATAAATGGATATTTTAAAATTTGGAAAATAAGTGTGCAAAATTAAAGTTTAAAAGAAAATTTTACCTGTTAGAGAACATGAATTATTTTTGCTGTATCTGATGCTTCTCTCTTCACTTAATTTTATGAAATCTCTTTTTTTTAAGTTCTGATATAGCAAGTGAACACTTCATTTTCAAGCTAGGTTTCTGATTATAGAGAAGTTTTTATTTTAAAGTACTGTTTTTTCTTCTCAGGAAAAATACCTGTTCATTATCAATTAAGATATAGTTCCTTAAATTTTGAACATTATTATTAGTATTTATTTATGAACAATGGAAAAAGATGAAGAGGAAATCTGTGAGCCAGTTGTTATAAGTCATTGAAAAAAAGGGAAGTATCCTGGAAGGAGGTAGATTACAGTGATAAGGATGGGGAGAAGATGGTAAAAATCAGATGTCATAGTCTTAGTATGTAGCACAGTGCCTGGTGCATAGTACATATTTAATAAATGCCTATTAACCGGCTTAAAAGAGGAGAAGTTGACTGATGATGTCAAAGACAAGGTAAGGAGGTAGAAGTGGCAGAAACAGCATAGAAAGAGAAATTTACAGTCTCTTCCTTGGAGCAGGGAAAAGGAATGGTCATTGGCAAGGGTGACTAGAGATAGTGGTCTCAGGAAAGTACGGTCCGTGGCAGAGGAAGCAGAAGTGATTTTGTTACTAGCATATCCTACATTACCACCTGAGTGGAAAAAGGAAAACAGATGAGGAGTTGGGAAAGAGATCACAGTTCTGGCATAATAGAGTCATGATTGATCAGCAGTGGAGGAATTTGGTAATTCACTTACACAGACATCTGTTGGAGTTCTTTCTTTGCCAAAAGCACGGCAGCTAATATCTTCCTGCCTTAGTGATAATTTCAGCCTTCAAAAGGTGGAGAAATTAAAAAGGGGAAATTTTTATTCTCACTAACAAGAAAGAATTGGTTGCTGTGACTTCCCTCCTCGAGTTTGTGTTGGAGGAGAGGAAATCAGAGCATATTCTGACACAATCCCTAGCTTTATGAAAGCACCCATCAAAGGGTGTAGAGGAAAGAGAGGCAGGATCCCATGGATCAAAATGCTCCAGGGGAGTCAGCCCAGGAAGGATGGGAGATGCTCAGGAATGTTTGAAGGCCCAAAGGCAAAAAATTCCAGTGAGAGAAGGGAAGGGGGGGGATTTGTTTGAAGTAACTGATAAGTGAAGCAGGTGCTTAGAGAACTCACCCACCAACTTAGATTTGAAAAGAAATGTACAGAAAATGGAAGTAAGGTCATGTAAAAAGTTGACTTAAGACACATGGCATGGTCCTGTAAAAATACCATCAGTGATGCTAAAGCTCAGAAGGGTCTAAGTTTGACAGTGGGGGAAACTAAGGACAACAGAAGTTTTTTCCAGTTATATTGGGAGAAAAAGGAGAATCAAAGAAGAAATCAGACCTTTGCTTTGGATGGATGGCACATTGGAGCCTGGTAATAGAGAAGACAGCTGTTCAATACTGGCTCTATTTCTGTTTTCCCTGCAAAGGAAAATAACTTTTGCAGTGGAAGTGACAAAAAAAAAAGATTAATAGGGAGTTGATACCCAAGATAAGTAAGGAGCCTAATAAGAGCATACCCAGCTGCCCTTGATGAATTCAAGTCACCTGGCTAAGGTTTTGAAAAAAAGTGGTTTATGTGATTGCTGAGCTACTATCAGTGATATTGGAAAGCTCATGGAATACGGGAGAGGTACCCCAAGAATGGAGAAAGGCAAATGAAGTCCTGATTTTCAAAAAAGGGAAGAGAACAGAGTTTGCAAACAATGAATTTGACTTCATTCCTGGGAATGTTCTAGAACAGTTCCCTAAAGAGATGATTAGTAAATATCTATAAAGAGGGGTGATTACCAAAAAGCAGCCTGGCTTCATCAAGAACAGGTCATGCTAGACTGACCTCATTTCCTTTTTTGACAGGATTAATAAACAAGTAGATGCTGTACACATAACTTACCTAGATTTTAGCAAAGCTTTAGAGAAAATATCTCATATTCTTCTTGTGGAAAAGATAGAGAGATATGGTCATTAGACAATAATATGGTCAGATGAATTCAACGTGGTGTGATGTCATCCAGGCTAGAGGTTTCCAGTAGAGTGTCCAAGAGATTGTATATTGCTCTACATAACATTTTTGTCAGGGACCTGGTACATTAGGGCATTTATTGTATGATCATCACATCTGCAAATGACTGAAAACTGGCTAGAAGAGATTGCTAACAGATTGGATGACAGAGTCAGGATCCAAAAAGATCTTAAAATGGTAATTCTCAAACTTTTTTGTCTCAGGACCCCTTTATTTTCTTAAAAATTACTGAGAACTCCCCAAAGAGCATTTATGCAAGTTATAGCTAGCCATTTTTCCCACATTAAAAACAGAATTCTTAGTATTATCATGAAGATAGTTTTGATCTCAAGGGTACCTGGGCCACACTTCAAGAACTGTTGGGTTGAAGCCTTGGGCTAACCTAAGATGTCATTGAGTGAGGGGAAATGTAAATCAGCTTCACAAGTACAGGACGAGAGAGGCATGGGTAGGTGGCGGTTCTGAAAAAAGATCTGAGGGTTTTAGTGGACTGCAGGCTCAGAGTAGGAGTCAGCAGTGTGATCTGACAGCCCCAAAAGGCTGCACGAAGAGGGCCTAGTTCCCAGGAATAGGGAGGCGATTGTCTCCCAGTGGTCTGCTTTTGCCAGACCTCGGCTAAGTATCGTGTTTGGTTTGGGGCACCACAGATTGAGGACAGCAATAACTTGGAGAACATTCAGGGAGGACAAGCAGGAAGGCACAGAACCTTGAGTCCATGCCATGTGTTTAACCTGGAGAAGACAAGACTCAGGAGGAACATGATAGCTGTCCTCAACCGTTTATAGAAGGCCCTTCACCTGGAGGACTGATTAGACCAGAGTGGTGGGTGAAAGCTGCAGGTGCCAATTTGGCCTTGATGTTAGTAAAATGACTTCCCCGTGGGGATAGGCGCGTGTGGAGGGGGTGGGCTCCCCCTTCCTGGAGCACTCCAGGCACAGGCTGCACAGCCATTTGTGGGGTGTGGCAGACTGAGGGATTCCTTTTGTTTGTGGATTGAACAAGAGGGCCTCACAGCCTTTTTCTGGTGCTCAGATTCTGTGTAGCGGAGCAGGTTGAAAGAAAGGTTTAGGGTCCTGCTAGCCATAAGCAAGGGATGTGGAAAGTTGGATGTGTCCAGGGCATGTTGACCAGGACGGAGAACCTCAAAATCATGTCATATAAGAATCACTTGAAGGAACTGGAGGTATTTAGCCTAGAGAAAGGAAGATTTAAGGGAAATGTAGAAGATGTGTTACATTTGTTTAGCTTGGCCAGAACTCAGAGCAGAGGTTGCAGGAAGAAACAAAGTTAGTTATTTATTAAGGGGGGGAAATGGCATGTGGGCTATGAGGAGGAACCCCTCTGATGCTTTTCTTTTCTGGTATTTCCCAAGAGACATTGAACTTTGTAGTTTATGGCCACTCAGCATTCTAAGGGGTCCTTGAGAAGAGAAATATAACACTGGCTATTCAAACTAGCAGAACAACTAGGCTTTCAGTCATTATAGGGTGGCTTCAGATTCCCTTCCCAGGAGGGTTTTTTGGCACTGTGTATCACAGCTTTCCTCCATTCCCAGGTTAGTTCAGGGAGTCAACTCCAGGTGATTATGCAGCCCTGCCCCTCCCATCCTCTTAGGGCAGCCCCTGTCTACTTTGAGGTAGCTCTGATTATTTAAGAGGACTTTGTTAACATCAAGGAATTGACTTGAACTGGCTCTTCCTGAAAAATGGGGAAGGCTTGTTAGGTGACCAGGCCAATTCTAGAGCATTCAGGGTTTCATACCCACTCGTGGGAACCTCTACCAAATCCAAACGTCCCGTGACATATTTCCAAATGTTTCAAAGCCCCTGTAAGAAAGCCATAGCACTAATGTAGTACAAATTAGAAAGTAGCTCAAAGCTAGACTAGCCTTAGATCCTTGTTAGCTCTATGATCCTGGGATAGCACCTAGCTCCTCAGTGCTTCAGTTTCTTATCTATAAAATGAGGGAGGCAGATTCCCAAAGGGAGAGTTACAGGTCCTTTGAGCTCTAAATCTATCACTGTGACTCCCAGTCAGCCCAGGGGTTCCCCAAATCTGTGGCCCTGGGATCCCAGGAGGCTTCAAAACTTATCCAAGGTTCACCAAAGGTAATCCCACGGTCACCACAGCTGACACCACAGAGCATTAGAAACTTCTGATGGGACATAGAAATGGCATGTTGCCTATTTTAATAAGCATTGTGTATATCTACAAACCATCAACTGAGAGAGGGGCATGGAATTAAAGACTGAGTTGTTTACAATTATGAAATACAGTTGTTTTTCCAAAGGTAACTGCAGTAATTGTTAGCTTGTTTACAAGCCAAAGGCTATGGGCATATACATGGTAACAGCTGCAATAATTGCAGTAAAAAAAAGTTCCCCATAGATCTGTGGTAGATACCAATGGAATTTATTTCCAGAGGACCTTCTAACCACCTTCCTGATAAGTAATAGTGCTTTAACTTAAGGAAGTTTGCTTTCCTAAGACATTTAATGTCAACTAATTAACAAAGGTATTTTTTTTTTAGAAAAATGCAAGAATATCAGCAGAAAAGCGTTATTCTGACACCTTAAGAGGACTAGGACTTTGTGATGAGTTTGTGTCAGAGAAAGGCCAAAATGCAGAGTACTTGACAAACCAAGAGATTGAAAACTGCTCTGAAGATGAAGTAAGGTAATACACACATAAGTTCCTAACAGTTTACACTTCAAGAAGTCCTGTTTACTCAAATCTTACATAACATTTTAGGCTTTACAAAGCACTTTACCTACATTATATCATTTGTTCTTCACAACTGTCTTGTGAGGTAGTTGGTGTCATTGTCCCCATTTTTTGAGGAAGCTAAAGCAAAGATGGGTTAATTAAGTAAATGACTTGCTTAAGGTCTCACAGCTCTTAAGTGTCTAATGTGGAATTTGGACCAAGGTCTTCCTGACTCCAAAAGCATTCCCTGTATGCACGATAGCACACAGGAGAAGAACTTGTTTCTGACTCCTAGAAAATGTAATGATAGTATAAATATGGCACTTTTATTTGTGTTTTTTTTTAACATGGTGCTTTTAAAAAGTAAAGCCTTAATAATGAATAACAAAATCATTGACATAGAACATTTCTAAGATCAAAATGTAATTTTTCCAGCAGTCAGTGTGTCTACAAAATTTTCTGGTTAGGTATCAGTATTATGAAGTTGAGGAAGACATAGAATTACATAATAGCAGAATGCACATGAGGATTTGTTTACCTTGTAATTTTTCCTTTGGATGATTAGCATGCGAGATTCTTTTTGTCTTATTTATTTTCCCCCTCTTAGCCTTGATGAAGACAAATTAGGAGAACACTGCAGAGAAAATGACCAGGGAGACTTTGTCCACTAAGATGGTCTCAATCAAGACGATAAAAATCATGGAGGTAGTTCAGAAGAAAACTCCACGTTGTTGGAGAGGAAAGTGGGAAGAAGAAAAGCTTTTTAAAAGTACCATATTTCTGTTGGTTATAGCCCGCAACTAACTGGTTTGTGTTAAGTATATCCTTGGAGGCACATTTTTTAAATACAGGTCTGCTGCAGTCTGGAAAATGTTGGATTTCTGTATACATTTTTGTTTATCCCAAATCACTGCACATACATGCGTTGTAAGTAAATCATGTACACGCTTCTTTCAAAGAAATGTAAAGAAATTTTTTTAAAATTGTGTTAATATTCAATTATGTCTTCAGCATTGTTTTTTCCTTTGCACTCAACCATTGATTATATGTGAATAAGCATTTGTAGCACATATAAAAAAGTTCTTAAAAGCATGATGTGGTAAGACATTTTAATTTCTAAATATATCTTTCTTATAGTGGAAAAACCAGTGAAGGTTCTAGTAATATCAGTGAGATCTCCCAACTAGTAGCTCACAGATGTGTTTTAATTAAGAAAATTGTTTCTCTAACAAAGGGAAGTGTTGAAATTGAAATTCCATTGAAAAACATTGAAATTCCTTTCCACGTTGTATTAAACTACCAATCACCATGTTTTTTCCCCAATAAATCCCAGGTATTATTAAGCATCAGCTATTTTTGATAAACATATTTTTATTATGCTTATATCTTCAATAATATGAGCAAGGACCGTGAAGCGGATGTGAATAGAAATGTTAGCCCTTTATTGTAATATCAAAACAGTATTGTGAAAAACTGAACCCATTCAATTTTTTCAGCTATCGCCGAAGAATGAATTCTTTTTTAAAGTTGCTGTTGTTCATTTTATTTTCCAATTGATAGCCATTTATTTTCTTTCCTACCCCCAATTTAAAAGAAAAAAACCACTGAAGCAATATACCTAGTCACGCAAAATAAATTCCCACATTGGCTATATCCAAAAATTATATATCTTGTTCTGCATATCAAGTCTTAAAACCTCTCAGGATTTGGGTAGCATAGTTCATCAGTCTTTCAAAGTTGTTAGTCTTTTCAGGGTTGTGGATATTGTACAAATTGTTCTGGTTCTGCTCACTTCACTCTGTATTAATTCATACAAAATCTTCCCAGGCAGGTTTCTCTGAACCCATCTCTTCAATCATTTTTTACAGCACAATAATATTTCTTTACATTCATGTGCCATAATTTTTCAGCTATTCTCCAGTTGATAGGTACCCCCTTTCCATTTCTTTGCACCGATTAGATCTTAATACGAAAAAATAGCTTGTTTCCAAAGGGTTTGGTATTATGCTATCATTTTTGTGACTGTCCTCTCTGGCATTAGGGAGTCCCTTCTGGGTTCCCCTGTTGACACTTGCTGTCTACAACTGGGGTCACAATCTCTCCAATGTAGGTGCAGTCATCAATAGGTTAAGTCCTTGTCCAGGCACCCAGTATATGTCTAAAGAAAAGCCTGTGGACCAGCCAGAAACAGGGAAAACAACCCCTTAATGAGTTTGGGTGCTGAGAATAACAATGGGAGTCAGTTCAACACAAAGCTTTATTACACACAATGGGGAAGAGAGGAGAGAGAGAAAAAGGGGACCTAGTATATAACTCAGGCATACACATTAACAGAGAATAAGTCACATGAGAACAGTGCCATGCTGGGGAGCATAGAAACGGGTCCATTCAGCAGGAAGGTGTGCTCCAAAGTGCCCTTCTGAGAGTGGGCTTCTTGTACTCTGATTTTGAATGGCCTTCCTGGAGCTGGCTGGTTTGCATACTAAGGATCAGGGCATGATGTAATTTTGGCAGTTTATCAGAGAAAAAAAACAAGCTGGTGGTAGACAAAATATTTTTGGCGGGACACAGCTGGACTAACTTTCAAAAACTGTTGTCAGTATTTTTCCATGAGTGTGATCTATAAGCTTACAGCCTCCCTTAAGAAGAGACTGCCAGGCTGAACCTTATATGGTTTCCATGCATAGATTCTATAAGCTGCAGCTTCCCTTAAGGAGAGACTCATGATGGTCTCAGGACCAATATAATAGATGAAACAATTCCTATTTTCAAGGAGCTTACATCCTGATGGGGAAGACACCAAGGACATATTAATATGTACAGGAAATAAATATGTACAGAATAGAGAATAAATACAAAGCATTTTGAGAGGGGAGGGAACTAGTAGGTGAGGATCAGGTGAAGCTTCCCATAGAGGTGATATGAGCCATGTCTTAAAGGGAGAAAGGAACTATATAAGGCTGAATAATATGTCTGCTAAAGCAGCTTGAGCCCTGTTAGAAAAAAAAAAACAACTTTAAAACCTCACCCAATAATAATAGCTAGCATTTACACAGCACTTAAAGGTTTGCAAAGCACTTCACTAATATCTCTCATTTGATCCTCACCATAACTGTGGTAGGAGGTAGGTGCTGTTATTATCCCCATTTTAACAGTTGAGGGAACTGAGGCAGACAGGTTAAGTGACTTGCCCAGGGTCACAAAGTAAAGTATTTGAGGACAAATTTTAACTTAGTTCTTCTTGACTCCCAAATCCATCCCTTATGCCACCTTGGGTATCTGAGGCAGATACCCAAGCATGAATGTACTTTGTTGACTTTTTACCTAGTACTTCCTGAGTTTGAAAGATCCAGAGAGAAAAGATAGGTAAGCCAAGGCTAAGAGTTTTAAAATAGGGTCCTACCTAGCATTTAGAGCTAGAAGCAACCTCAGCATTAAGATCTGTAATCCCATCAATTTGAGAGTCCCTGCTGGTGTTGCAGGTCACAACCAGTCTGTGCTTGCTTGTCCCACGTAACTCCACATCCTTCCAGAAGTTTGCTGAGTCCACCCAATGTGCCCAAGGTGGTCCTCCCCCTCTTTGGGTGCATTCTGGCTGTCCACTTGTACCTAACAGACAGAAAAAATGACACTCTTTACTCCTGTTGGCTATATGTTGCAGCTTTTTCACACCGGCTAGGCTTCTTTCCATTGCCCTCTGTGTGACACTCATCTTTTCATTGTTTGGCGGCAGTGATAGTCCAGGTCTCACTGCCATACAGTAACACCAATAAAAGGTTGGTTTTGAAAAAGAGAGACTTGGGCTGTTATAAGAAGCTTTGGGTTAGTAAAAGTGCTTTGCAATTTCCGAAAAACAATCCAGCCTGCTCTTTTTCTCTTTTTCAATTCTAGGCCTAGCCCATTTGTTCTATGTCGTCTGTCCTATCTATTCATACTGTTGGGAAAAACTCTATAGGTTGTTTGTTGAAATATGGTCACTAGGCATTCTTCATCCATTTGGTCTTTCCTGTGTGTATTGACAAACCAAACACTTTTGAATGATCTCTCCAAAAGCTTCTGTGATGTGTCGTGATATGTTAAGAATAGCGTCAGGAGTCCTAGAACTCAATGAAATGAATTTGGCAAGGATTGACTGAGAAAAAAGGTTATGTTTGTTTTGGTTTTTTAACTATATTGAGAAAAAGAATAAAACAAGATAGAAGATTGCTGTTAAAGGTGTCTGGGACAATAGGACATGAGAAGCTTCTGTTTTCTCTGCAAAGAGAATAATATTTACACTATAAAGGACTCAACATGTAATTTCATTGATATGCAACCTAAAAGTGTTTGAGGGCCACTTGGAGCGCTGAAAAGTTTAGTGACTTGTCCAAGGTCACACAGCTAGAATGTGTCAGAGGCAGGACTTAACCCCAGGTCTGTCAGTCTGGTGCTCACAGACCTTAGATGGCACAATGAAAAAGGCTAGTAAGAAGCTGAAATTCAGGATAGATGAGGAGGCAGTTAAAATCACCTACTATTGTGTTACTAGGTCTCAAACTACATTACAAAGCAGCAATCATCAAAAATATTTGGTGCCGAGATGATGGATTCAAGATGAGAATAAATGTACATTTTTGAGGCGTGGACAAAATGGGAATTTATTTTCCTTTGTGCTTTCATTACAAATATTTTTTAAAAATTTTTTTAAATTTTGAGTGGGAGAGGATGGTAGTGTGAAGAAGACTAGGAATAGGATCACTTCTTCCTCCCGCCCAAAGAAAAGAAAAGAAGTAAATCATGGATTTTTTAAGTATACCAAATAGAAGAGAAGGAAGGCCAGAGGAAATCAAGATAGCTTTGAAAGTCCATATTGAATTTTTTTAATTACTCAAAAAGAAAATTAAGCAACACATAAGACGTTGTTTGACCTGCAATCCTCTTTTTCTGTTTTATGGTGTATATAAAGTGCTCGTTTTATTTCGTGTGTGACTTTTAAAATCAAATATGGATGGTTAAAAAAGAGTGGTGCTGGTTAAAAAAACAGCAGAGTAGATTAGTGTAACAGAAGTAGTTGAAAACAATAGCCCCTTGCTTGACGGGCCTAAGAACACATTTTTGAGGGACAGGCTTCCTATTTTATTTTATTTTTAAATTATTAGTTAAATAAGTTATTTTTAGTTTTCAACACTCACTTGCACAAGATTTTGAGTTTCAAATTTTCTCCCCATTTCCCCCTCCCCCCACCCTAAGTAGGCATCAGGTTTCCTATTTTAAAAGAACTCTGGGGAAAACTAAAAAGCAACCTGGCAGGAAAGAGATTTAAACCAATAGCTTACACGATATGCTGCAAATATTCAAAACAGCTGACCATATTACTAAAGGTCGTGTTACTAAAAAGGTCATATTATTAAAAATAAAGGAAGAGCAGGTACTTTTCATGAGTATAGTGAGGGGTAAGAATTTTTAACTAAAGGAGAGCTCTAGAAATCATTTTTTAAAAATATACTTTTTTCACTATATAAAATTTTTAGTTCGCTTTAAACCTAAAGGTTTTGTGTACATTAATGAAGATAAAATAAGAAAATAAGAAAAATGTTTTCATCAAATAACATCAAAGTCTGATATCCATAATATATAAGGTATTGATATGAATATATAACACTAAAAGCCATATCCCAATAGACAAATGGACAAAAGGATATGGGGGGAAAAACCAACCTGTGATAAAGCTGTGAATTGATTCAAGTATTCTGGAAAGTAAGTGGAATAATTCTAAGAAAGTGACTAACATGTCCATGCCCTTTGACCCAAAGATCCCACTGCAAGGCATATATCTTACATATTAGTTTGTCAGTAACAAAAAGAAAGTCCCTATATACACCAGAATATTTATAACAGCACTTTTTGTAGTCTCAGGAAAACACAGTAGAGACCCATTTAGAAACTGAGGAATGACATGGCTAAACAGATGGTAATACAGGAATGTAATGGAACAATGAGCTTTGGTGATAAATACGAAGAAGCATGCAAAGATGTGAACTGATGCAGAGTGAAGTAAGCAGAACTGGAAAAGCAATACACACAATGACTATAACAATATAAGTGGAAAGAATGACAGTAGAATAACAGAAGTTGAATGTTATAAAACCTAATAACCAAACCTGGACCCAAAGAAAAGATTTGAGAAAACACTTCCCCTGGCTTCTTTGCAGGAGATTTACAGATACAGAAAATCGCACATGTGTTGGCTGGTTGAGCTGAATTTTTTTTTCTTTTTCCCCTTTTAAAAAGTCTTTGTTGTTTCTGAGAGTGGTTAAGGGAGACATATGGAGGGAAATATAGGTGATATAATTTTTTTTAATCAA